TTTTCAGGTATATTACTATATGTTATTACGCAATGTTTGTCTGTATTCAAACGTTGATTACAAGAATTGATTGGCAGAGCAGTATTTTAAGAGTGCGTCAAGATTATGTTGCAGTTTATTGCAATCATCCACATTAGTTACCATTCTATATAATTTTATATCGTATGCATACAACAGGTGCAAGGAAAAAAAATGTAATATAGGCTATATCGTTTACAATTATAATGTTAAAAGTAGGGGACCAAGGTTGGATCCCTGTGGCACTCCAGACGACACAAGCAACAAACCAGACATATACCCCTTTAAGCAAACGGCTTGGCGTCTATTAAGAATGTGTGATACGATGTTAGATTTCCGTGTACACCGAGATTCAGAAGCTTGTTGATCGTGATTAATTTTATCGAATCATTTTGAGAAATCGGTGTACACTGCATCTACTTGCGCATTGGCATTAAAGCGCGTAAAAAGTAGTCAGTAAATGAAACCAGATTGGAGTCCACACACCGTGACTTCATAAAACCATGTGGGTTTTCGGAGATATGATTACGAATAGCAAACGACAGCTGTTGAGTCACGATTTTCTAGAATATTTTACCAATCACACACAGCTTAGAGATAGGCCTGTATTCGGTAACAAATCCTCGTTTCTCGTTTTTAGGTATGGATGTAATAAGGGCGTGCTTCCATATATCTGAATGGAAGCACGCCCTTAAGGAAATACCCGTGACTTTATTGATACTCCAAATATGGTACCAATAGGTTTCATTAACTCTTCGGCACATTGAGAAATAATCAGAGGATGGAAACCATCGGACCCAGCTCCTTAGTGTTTGTTGACATGCTTGAGTTCTTTGAATATATCGATCTACGGAATTAATGTCGGTATACATGATTCGGTGCGTTCACTGCCGGATTTAGGGGAGGGCAACCGGGGCGAAAGCCCCGGGGCCTACACAAACGGGGAGCCCCCGCAATAGAGAATCTTAAAAAAAAGTCTTCCAAATTCCAACTAGTAAACACTAGTAAACATCTTTTCCTTTGATATATTTTTTTTGCTCTTTTACCTTTACCTACAGCCTACAGTACTTTGTACATCTAACATACATGATTATTTGATTATATTAATCTCAGGGCCAAATTAAAGGCAGGGCAAGTGGGGCTGTGGCCCAGGGACCTCCACAACAGCTTAAGAAATAACAAAATTTCGATGGAACAAGCATGCAAATCCTAAGTGGCCCGGGGCCTCCACAACAGGATAAAAGATAACAAAATTTCGATGGGTTAACAAGCATACAAATCCTAAGTGGCCCGGGGCCTCCACAATCCTAAATCCGGCCCTGGGTGCGTTTTAGTGTGAACTTGACTGAAGTTTGCGAGGTCGGTTTTGCTATAAACACTGAATGAAAATAATGATTAAAACTTTTACATACCTATTTCATTTCCGTCAGTAAGGGTCTTGCCGTTGTAAATTAAAGTACGTGGTATAACTAGGGACACGAAAAAAGTATCGATACTTTGTGGTATCGAGTACTTTTCCTTTCGATACCGATACTTTTGTACTCGATACTTTGTATTCGATACTTTTACTCAATGAGTACTTTTTGGCAAGTATCGAACCTTTAAAAATTTGGATAAGCGCCTCATATTGATGGCAACGCCATCTTGGTAAATCATAGCAAACCTTCTAAAACATTCCATAGGGTATTTGACAAGTTTTAGGCAACGATCACGTTATTGACTATGTTTATGGAGTCCGTAAAAAGTGGATATTCATCATTCTGTCTGTAAAAATAACCAAATCAAAAACTCCATTTTCAAGTTGCCGCGAAAACGTTTCTCTGGACAATATGGCGTTTTACTAGTGTGTGACGTCATTTTAGACTCTGCCAATCCCAAGCGTTTTGGGTTACGTGACAATAGACAAGAAAACTAATATCTTTTTCGTTATTTTGGCACTTTATTTTTTTTAATACTGTCAAATGCCCTATTGCGTTGTTATTTGTGTAAAACGGAGAACGCCACAGAAAGAAAAAAAAAAAGTCAGTAACTGACATATTCAAATTCTTTCCAATCTGTGACTGCGTTTATTTTGCGCTTTGTTTTGTTTCATAGTTATTTATTTAGCGACCATATTTTTAGGAAATGTGATTGATTCGCCGTTTATTGTGGTTTTCGATTGACTGTATTTGATTTATTGAAGTGTAACACCATTATTCTGTGCTGTGTATACCTATTTGAAACCACCTGAAAAAAAATGGTTGCCTGTAAAGTCGGTTTTACGGGCGAAGATTTTACGTGACAACGTCTTTTTCTCGGTAGAATATTTATTGATATGAATATAATTAAATTGCACAATAGGAACAAGGAATTGAATGAAAATAAGAATTGCACAAATTTTAACTATAGAAATATATTTTGTTTACTAAAACATTGTACATGTAAACTTAAACTTAACACGAGAGACTCATCGTAACGTTACCGAGCGTTACACTTTTTCATAAGTGACTCCCAGCCGCAACCTAATTTAAGACGTTGTCACGTCAAAAAGACGGACGTAACCTCTTCTATAATTATAATCTTGAGTGAAGCATGCCAATGGCAGCCGTTAACTACGTGTCAGATTCAAGTTAACATAAGTGGGTATAATGTTTTTTTTTGATGATTAAAATTCTAGAAAAGTAAGTTTAATTTGAAACAAATCTGAAAAGTTTCATACTTTTAAATTGTTTAAGATTTTTAATTAACATTTTAATTATGAATGTAATGTTAATGAACACTTTTTTAGTGTCAGAAATCACAGCTATTTTCTTTTCATTATATAATATAGCAATTTGTGAATTTACATGTCCTGTTTTTGTTTTTGATTATACGTACTATAATAAAATTTGATTGTTTTTCTATCAATTTTAACACCTGGGGGGGGGGGGGGGGGTTGCTCATCAGGCCACAGAGGCTCCGATAAGGCCCTATGAAATGTACTCGATACTTTGAAGTATCGATACTTTTGTTTCGATACTTTTACGAGTACGATACTTTTTTACCGATACTACTCATGAGTACAGTATCGATACTTTCTATTCGATATCGTGTCCCTAGGTATAACATCGTTTACCCTTTTCGATTATACGTATGATCAGAAATGAAATGAGTTGCGCCTTATGTTTTCCTCAGCCAAAGTATTAAATTTATTATATCTTTCGCGTTCAAATTTCTCAATCTGGATCTTAATTTGGAAAAAGTATAATAACCCATAAGATAACCGTACCTTTTCCATTTAGTGTGATATTACCGTTTCTCATTACTGAGTTTATTAGTAAACGGATAAACCATAGGGAAAACTTATTTGCGTCATAACATTTACGAGATGGTATGTAGGTATAAGTTTATTTAGTACCTCATATAGAAAGGACATTGTTCAGCGTCCATACATAGTTAGCCTAAGAACCAACAATCATGAAATATTATTTTCTAGGTTCAAAATCGTAAGTAAATGACTGTAAAAACAAAGAATATTGACGGACACTTCTGAGAACTTTAATTATTAGGAAAACTAAAACTTTTTAGAGGTTATGTTTAATATTCAATGAAACATAGGTCAACCTATGAATTTAGTATGAACTCGATATGAAGTGAATTAATATTACAACTAATTCATTTTATTCGGTGCGATTTTAAAGAATAACTATTAGGGAAAACTTGGTAAGGTAGGAATATGAATAAATTAAAAACTGTAGTTTTGCTTCTTATTTATCGACTATTTTTCACATAATTGTATCATATTGTTTATTGTATTTATTTGTATATCACATGTTTATTGTGTAAATATGCAGCGTGAATGTGTATCAGGTGTTCTTGAATAATTTGGCAGTATGATCCTCTCAAGATGTTGTGGCACAGGTTCACTAGCACTTGGTAATAAGGGCTCTGCGCTTTGGTAACATCGATGGCATATTAGATAGCCGAAATACTTAAATTAAAGGAAAATCAATCGCAAATAAACACACACAACAGGTAATCGGCAACGAGAATGCACTTTCCGGTGTTACTACTCTTTGGAATGCACGAATGCCACAGATTACTACGAATGCAAACTGCATGCACCACAACCACAGAGTAACGAGTTTTATGCCGGCCCTTCACTTGACAACAATTTGTCCTTGTCATGCTTAATAAGGAATGAAAAGGACAGACTGATGTCATGTTTTAAAATAGCAAATACGAATAGCCAAGTGAAGTGCCGGCATTAGGAAGAAAGAGTGTTTTGTTTGCAGCGCTGCCATAGATTATACACATAAAATGGTATTTATTGTCTCAGATTATTTTTTAACTTTTTAAGTTAGCTTACTTAACTGGAAGTGTCCGTCACAATCTAAATACTGATAATTATCGCAAAAAATATACTAAGAATTATCATAAATGCCAAATTGGTGTTGGTTCTTAGGGCAATTTTAACATTGTCCTTTTACCATTGACTCGACGTTTGTTATTGATGCAAAACAACCATCCCTATCTACCGAACTCAGCTTGCGCCGAATGTTATCAAAATCTGCCTGATAAATCTTTTTTTTTGATAAATATATTCTGTTTTATTGTATCAGTATATCAATTGATAATTTATATACTAATAGCCTTATGACGGACATCCTCTGGAACAAGTGGCTTTCCAGAGGCTGTAACATTAACTTTTTGGTTACAGAAAACTAAGTCTAGCAATCGAACATTAATATTATATTTAGTTGTATTACAACCATAAAGATAAGTCCATAAAGTCATGGGTGAGATCGACCATAGGATTACTACAGAATTCCAATGTCATATTACCAGAGACAAAAATAGTTTATGTAATTTGTGGCTCCCGTCTAGCTAATTTATTCAAGATTAGGCATATATCATTGGCAAAAATGCATCAATAACGGGGATGAATCCTTCGTCATAACATAAATCTATCACATACGGTACATTATGCAATAACCACCTAGTATTACGTAAAAAATGCTTACCTGAAATCTCAAAGAACCGACTGGCGGCTCCGCATAGGGTATTCCTTCGAAACATGCGTAAGGTCGACCCCTCAAGGAATTGCTCCACGAACCCTGCACTGTTCCATAATCGATGTCCAACGAAGGTGGTTCCAACTCCTGGGCTGCCACTACCCAGATCATCAAAACTAACAATTCAATAACACTCATTCTATTTACTTCTCTGCACCAAGTACCAACACTGAATAAATATTAAAAGCACGTTAGCTAAATATGAGCTTATATTCTACTGAACACCTCTTGCTTACTGAGTGATATTATAATTTTATCCTTCAATAAGTCATGAACATTACAAGCACTTTTTGTTGAAGCTTACTGAAAAAAGACAACTGACTAACCATGCAAATATTTGTAGCTACATGAACAATTACATAAGTATAGTAAATAAATTTGCAAAAAATGCATCGTCACTGAAGCGTCACGGAGCGGGCAGATATGCTAGAAAGAACCAAGCAAATTTTATATAAATGGTAGTGTTTTACTAAAGTATCAAAACTAAGAACTTTAAAATTAAAGAAAAGTTTTAATAGAAAAAAATCCACGCGGACCAGGCAGCGGACGGGACTCGAAACCGCACCCTTCGCAATCCGGGCGAATGCACTGACCAATTATGCTACCACGGTCACCCAATGGCCGCGTCGAAATTTTCCTAGCCTTAAGCTGCAAGGCAGCGCCTTTTTTCTAGTTTTACTAGATTTAAACATCTAAATGCTTAAAAAAAAACTTAAAATTGTTTATTACCATTGGAAGGCTATCGTGGCCAAGATCGTAGACTTTAATTTAGTCCAGTCGGAATAGCCATAATTTGGATCGACTTCTATTCTAAGACACCAGCGCTTAGCCAATTTTTTCCTAGGTAGTATAGACCCCCACGAATATGCCCTCCATTTGTCCCCTCTAGAACCCGTGTTTTGTAGCCAGGAAAATTGTTTAAACAAAGAAAAACCGGTTTTTTTGAGTTTTTTTGCTTGTAAAAGGGGATTTTCAAAATTTTTTTGAATCAAAGTTGTTCATTAGCTTGCCCTCTACAAAATCAGTTCTATGAAAAAATAACGTGAGATTGTTAGTTTAGCAGTAAATTGCAATTATGTCGGTTTTACGTTTGCAACAATTCAACATGTTATAATAAACATTTTGATTTCTAAAGTAGTTTATCATGTGGGTAACGCCACTCCCAAGAGAGTCATGTAAAATTTATCGACCTGTGTCGCAAACTTTAGCAACAATTCTCAATCTCCGAAAAAAAAGTACTTGCCTGTCCCGTCTTTCCCAGAAGGCGCACAGCGGGAAAAAAATTCAGGTGATTCGATTCACCAAGAATTTTGAGGAATCGATCGAGTAGAAAAAAATCGTTAATAAAAATGTTCGTTTTTGCACGATTTAAATTTTTTTTAAATATTGACGTAGAATATATTTTTTTTTAAACTAATGTATTTTTCTCTCCTCAACTCGAATATACTATTCTGAATATATATATATATATATATATAATACTAATATACCCTGAGAATTCCGATTATGAACCGGAAGAAAAAAGGACGAAATTAATTTAATTAGAAATATACAATACAACGCAGTCTTGTAATCGAATTTTAGTTAATAGTTTTGTAAATAATTTCTGTACATAAATAAACTGAATTTTTTAAATTTTCAATCGTATATTCGAGTTGAGGAGAGAAAAATACATTAGTTTAAAAAAAAATATTCTACGTCAATTTTTAAAAAAAATTTAAATCGTCCAAAAACGAACATTTTTACTAACGATTTTTTTCTACTCGATCGATTCCTCAAAATTCTTGGTGAATCGAATCACCTGAATTTTTTTCCCCGCTGTGCGCCTTCTGGGAAAGACGGGACAGGCAAGTACTTTTTTTTCGGAGATTGAGAATTGTTGCTAAAGTTTGCGACACAGGTAGATAAATTTTACATGACTCTCTTGGGAGTGGCGTTACCCACATGATAAACTACTTTAGAAATCAAAATGTTTATTATAACATGTTGAATTGTTGCAAACGTAAAACCGACATAATTGCAATTTACTGCTAAACTAACAATCTCACGTTATTTTTTCATAGAACTGATTTTGTAGAGGGCGAGCTAATGAACAACTTTGATTCAAAAAAAATTTGAAAATCCCCGTTTACAAGCAAAAAAACTCAAAAAAACCGGTTTTTCTTTGTTTAAACAATTTTCCTGGCTACAAAACACTGGTTCTAGCGGGGACAAATGGAGGGCATATTCGTGGGGGTCTATACTATCTAGGAAAAAATTGGCTAAGCGCTGGTGTCTTAGAATAGGTCTCATGTTTATTCCGACTGGACTAATTGAACAGTATACGATACTCAAAATTATATTTTCACAGATGTTATGAATTAGTTTGGGCCATACGATATCAGTGCCTCTGGTGGTGAGATTGTCAGTTTTCTTCTAAATTGCGAGTAATTCTGCAGATTTATTTATTATGTGGAAAGAAAAAATGGTTGGGAGTAGGATGCATATGTTGGGGCGGGGATTTATTAATTTCATTATCAAATACCAAATCATTTATTGCATTCATGTAGTTACAGAGACAGTTAAATACATGTTATAAAGTACGTTACATGAACCCTGACAGGTATAGAAATACTTAGTGTTCTTATGAATAAAATTAACAATAATGTAATATACAATTTAAATAAAATTTTCTTGAATATACGTAACATAAATATCTACTATCAAAATTAATATATTTCATCAATTCTCCCTTAAAAAATAATATCAATAGTTAATTTGAATTAAATTATAAAATATGTCAATAAAATGAAAACTATGTATACATACCAAATTACTTAATATAACCCACCTTAAAATCAACCGTCATCAATCACAAAAATAATATATTTTTAAATCAGACAATCATATATTCCAATTAAGTTATTAAGAATCGTATAAAATTATATTATATTATTATCATGTCAATCAATCTTTCCAAAACATATTTTTTGTTAATAATATTTATTTAGACGTAAGGTAAAATTCATATATTTCATCAATTATCCCATAAAAAATTATATCAATAATTAATTTCAATTAGTCTATTACACGACTGTTGTCTTATACACGGCTGTTATCATTAGTCTATTACACTGCTGTTGTTGAAATGCAGGCCAATTTTAACCTGCGTACAAATAGCCGATAACGCGTTCCATGGCGCCCGTAACCGGCTATGTGTGCCCTGGAATGAGCTATCCATACTCATAGCAACTCGTGGAGGGTACGCTTAGCTGGCTTAGCCCCTGCGCGTACCCTGGAACGCGCTACCCGTACGCAGCTGTAGGGAGCCCCCAGGTCTGAACAAAGGGAGTCTGACTTGCATTGCATAAATGTTCAGGATAGATGGAGAGCGCCTGATACTCCGAGGCCGGAGGAGGATTTTGGGGTAGGTCCGTTCGTGGATTACCACAATGAAGGAATGCTTTGACTGCTTATGTGTTCCCTGTGCCCTCCCTCTTTAGCAATTTATTATGCACTTTCAACTGTCATTTTTAGGGTTCCGTACCTCAAAAAGAAAAAACGGATCCCTTATAGGGTAATCATTTAGTTGTCCGTCCGTCCGTCTGTCAAGACCGTTTTTTTTTCAGGAACGTGTGGAGGTATCAAACTGAAATTCATATCTAATACTCAAGTCTACTTTCCCTTGCAGCTGTGAAAAAATCAAACTCTAAGCCAAAGCAATCAAAAGATACAGCCGTTTATGCCGAAAATTTCCGCAAATTTTCGAAACTCGCACGGGAATCAAAACCTACAGGGTGCTTCCCGTGAACGTAGAATCTTGAAAGGAGATTGCTCAGCTTCCATACATGTTTAGCCTAAAGACCAATAATCATGAAAAATTGTTTCCTAGATTCGAAATTATATATAAATTACTGTAGAAACGAATATTATTGACGGACACCCCTGAGAACTTCTATAAACCATATACACTGAACGATTTTGAGGTTATGTTTGCAAATAGGTACAAAGGTATTAACATAATAAAAAACAAATAAGTTAAATAGTACACTAGGGAAATCAAGCCAAGTACCGATTATGTATTAGATTCAAGTATATAAAGCATGTAGATTAACAGATAGTTGCCTGTTTTTAAAGTTAATGCACAAGAGTAACTTTTAAAATCAGCTATTATCTATGCATTTCCGGTTATAATAAGGAAAGTACTCTGTGACATAAACTGTGTGATGATTGTGAATGAGCCACAGATTAAAGAGAATTTTTAAACTCTCGTTAACCAAAGAAAGCTAAGAGATTTAGGTTATACAGCCATATCTTCAGTAGCTTCATTATTTTTGTTATGTTTACATTATAGCCATATTTTAGATTTTTAGTGTATTTAGTGTTTGGTGAAAATGTACGGCAATAGACTTTATGATGTCGCCTACCATCTATAATAATTGTCTTAGCACATTTGCATGTAGTGAAAATGATAATATAGTTGTGGATATTAATACCACACTGTGATAAAAAAATGTTTTATTTTATCGACCTTTACAAAATAGATTTGATTTTATGTTTTAAAAACAACTTCGATTAGTCTTTGGCTGAATGTTACTGCACCCATAGCCATTAAAAATGATTCGTACCTATGTTTTTCAAATCGGTAAAATTAAAAGTCCTTTTTATAATGAATATATTATAAAAAGGTGTCCGTTAAATTCTAATGACTGTAAAATAAAGCATAAATTACGCCAAGATTTACCGTATATGTCAATGTTTTTTGTGCATTTGGGCCAATTTGAGCAATCTCCTTTGGTACGAAATAACGTCTTATAGAACAGATAAAGGAAAAATTGCTTAAACCGTAAATTTTTAGTTACATTATATAAAATAAAAACAAAAAATATTATTAAAATATACCTCTAGGTTTGTACGGAACCCTCGGTGCGCGAGTCCCACTCGCACTTGGCCGGTTTTGTTAGTACTTACAGTCAGCAACACATCAAGTTACAATTTAACGTAAAATTTACCCAACAAGCATTAGGTTTGGGCCTAAAAGCTCAAAGTGTCATATAGAGTTTGAAAGTTTGGAAAACTTGATTTGTGGCTGTCTGTACAATATGTCCTTTTACTTTAATCCTAGGTATGTACTTCTAAAATTTTTAATCAAAATTGGATTAACAACGTAAGCGTGAAA